ACACGGGTATACACGCTGGTCAGCTCATTCAAAGTTTTCGGACAATTTTCCAAAAACCTGCAGAAGTCGATTCTTTACGCTGAAGCTAGTCATTGTGATAGAGGATTGACTCCAATCCAGAGTCGTCCGCGTCACTGTTGTCATCATCTGCAAAAACTCTGGTAGGCACATGCTTCAAGTCGCCCGCAGCACGCTTCGAGATTTCTTCACGAAACAATTCCGCCACCTGGACAGGTTGCGGCGGCACTATGTGGGGAAATGTCATCCAAGCTGGCTACCGGCTGCCTTCAACGCAAAGAGGCCTGGATAGCACTGCGACTGCTTCAGGTGGGCCCCACCTGCCTTGGTATGAGCTGCAGAATCCACACCTAACATCCACATTAAAGGGCAAGGTCGAGGAAATCTACAAGTCCCAAGCACGCATCGCTTTTTGCCCTTGGAGTCGTGATAGCTTTTGGTGATCTCCAGGCCAAGGAATGATTTGATTCGCTTCAACTGTTCCCTGGCCGTGTACACAGGGCTTATAAGACCCCACACCCTAAACCCTGAACCCATCACCCCACACCCTAACATTCACTCATAAGGCATTGAATTGGGGCTACGCTAGCTCATCAACGTGCATATATAGGAGACCAATCCGGCAAAGGGTAACCCTTTCCTGTAGTGCACTGCAGGGCACACGTGATGTTGCTTGCAAATGAGCTAGAATCTATAATAGTATGGGGTTATACCGGGACTCGAGTTGGACTCATGAAAACAAAGCTAGGTATTCCCCTGACACACATGCAGTTTAGGGTTTGGGGCTTAGGGATAGAGGAGCGCCTATTTCGAGATCCCCAAGATTCAGCCGGCTCTACAAAAGAAAGGGATGTCTAGGCCAAGCTAAAATGTTATGAACTGGCCCCGATGTTAAATCCCCACCCCTGACCTTCGACACGGACTCAATGCGGTTTGCAGACGCTCCAGCCACGGCGCCGTACCGTACAATGCAACCTTGAACTTGTAGAAATCCCAACATCAAACAATGCTCCCGATTATGAGCCCTATATTTGCCCTGGAATCAGAAAACGATGCGGAATTGTAACCTGAGCACAGGCTTCCGGGACGCAGAACCAAGGGCGCCAAGCGGGACATGGATGGCGACTGCGCCGTGCCGCTTGAGAGTCTCCTCAGGGCCATGGAGAACCAATAAATATGGTGGGTGTGTCTACCTAGGTATTTGGGGGGGATGATAGGTTAGGTTTTTCTTGTTCGTTTCTAGAAAATGAGCTATGCTCGAAATTCCTTGTAAATATGGTGGGTGTGTCTACCTAGGTATTTGGGGTTTGGGGCGTGGGATGATAGGTTAGGTTTTTCTTTTTCGTTTGTAGAATATGAGCTATAGTCTAAACTCCTTTATAAGGGGATATAGAAGGTTATTATAGGGGACTCCGATGGGGTTGCTAAGGAAGATACAAGGAGTTTAGGCTATAGCTCCCTCGCTTACTAGGTTCCTGCTCTTGGCAAATGTGCGGAATGGGTTCTGCAGAAGCAGCTTTACTGACTCACAGGGTATGTAGGACTTAGATGGGTATTTTAAGGATCAATGTTCTTTGGACACCATGGCTCTAGAAGATGAGTCCCCTAAACCCTAAACCCTAAACCCTAAACCTGTATACATCGGGTCCGGGATGCTGGCAAATGTCTGGAAAGTGCAATTATAGCTTCGGAAGGTATACGTTGCTTCGGGGGACTATGGTGATGAGGGCCATTCCCCAGAAGGAATTGCCATGTTAGTGTATGATAGGGCGCCCCACATGCTACCAAGACACTTTGATCGGGTCGAAGTCGAAAAAACAACTGCCAGAGGGATTCTCCAAGATATATGTGGCCCCGGAACGAAAGGTATACTCCATCCTTATTGTTCGTGGAACATGAAACAAGCAGGGACCACTGGAACTTAAACAACACGGGCAAAACGCACAAACACACATGTTGCCTATATAGCCAGGGCACAGGTATGCCACCCGAATTGCCAAACGGTTTGCCACACGTACTGACAAGTACTTTGTAGCACCTCCAATGGGGGACAGAAAGAAGTCAAGATCAGGTGTTCTAGGATTGGACAGGTCGACGTAGAGCTAGAATCCGAGGCACCGCGAATCCTGAGCCTTCGTCGCTGTGTGCTCCCGCGTGACCTGGGTTGGACATATAAGATTCAGGCTGGCCCCTTGGATCTAGGTGTGGGGGCGTGGGCGTAACCAAATTATACTTCATTTTGGGAACCCGCACAATTTGAAACAAGCTAGTGGGTGTACCCTGCAGGTTGCGTTGCAGACAAAAAGCATGTAGCTCCAGCTGGCGCAAGGCATTGCCATCCAAACCAACCCATGCTGAACCATACGGCGAATCTGAGCATGAGGAGTCATGTATGGGCATAGTTTAGAGCTGTGCACATGGGCTTCCAAAGGTGCAGGCAAGTCTCTGCAGCTATCGCCAAAATGAACCCGAAAGAGCTGCAAATATCCATTTTGGAAGAGTAATCCAAATCCATTGCGTGCGTGACATATCCCATGGCAGCCAACGCCGACTTTATCATGTGAACACCTTTGCTGAATATTGGGTCCTGCCCGCACCATTAACAGGCTATGATATTATAGATTATTATATAATACCAAGGGCTGTATGGAATTATATTCTAATTCGTTTCCATGTAATGAGTGAGGGCAGTACCCAAGCTGAATACCTGAACCAGTTGCGTATGGATTTTTTTGGGCAAAACCTTACCCTAGACCCTAAACCCTAAACACTAAACCCTAAATTGCTAGATCAACAAGGACACCTGCGAAGAGCTCTAGAAAAAACAGTTGGTCGTCAGGATCTTGATCTCCAAAACCTGGAGCAGGAAACGGGGGCTGGCGAGGGGTCGAACTAATTCCGGGTTTGTGGGCAACTAAGGTATACACTCTTCTGCAGCGTGGCTTCCACGAAGCGCAGACGGGAGAACTTCATTTCGGCAGCCCAGCGAAAGATTAGACTGGCAGTACGATGTCAAGAAGCCACATGTGGCGCTAAAGTCCCAGACCCTCAACCCTCCTTAAAAACCCTGACCTGATATAGGGGCTGATGTAGAGGTCCTTTTTTAGAAAGTGTGTCGGGATGCTTTGGGATGTAGGCAGAATAATCAATCAAGTCTCATAATTTTCGATCAACTGCTCCGCTATCTTATAGGAGCTGACAATTTGGTGTGGGGATAGGTGCGGCCTGGTTCAACACACGAGATATAGAAGCTTGAGCAATTATCAGCATTGCAAAAGACGTCCCTCATGTTGGAGCACGCTGGCGAAGCTGTAACCCGTGCAAGTGATCAAAGGCTGCAGAGCACTGGCATCGATCGGCTTGGCTTTTCACCCAGGACCCGAACCGTAACCCTTTCATGTGAAACGTCTGCGTTTTTGCTCTGACTCCTTCATTGTGCTTACCACCAAAGCGCGCTCCTCTGATCGTTGCCACCAGTACTCTCTCTCCGGCTGCGGCATGTCCCCCCATTCAGCTTTCAGCCTTAATGAAGTAGTCACACTCCCCCACGTCGACTCAAAACAGTTTTGTGTTCAGAAAATCTGCAGAGAAGTAACGACTGCAAGTACTTCTTCTTGGCTGCCCCGTAGGCCGTCTCTTCCCTGCTTTTCTTCGGTATCGTCCCTTGGCCCTCGTTCTTAATTGCTGCCGCCTTGGCCTTTGCTTTGCATTTTGCCTTAGCCTTTGCCTTTGCTTTGCACTTCCCCTTAGGTTTGGGCAATTCTAGGCGCCCTGTGGCTTTATTGCATGCGACCAGTAAGCGTTGAGCATGAGGATTAAAGGGCTTCTGTTTGCCAGCTACGCAAGCCTCTCGAACAGAGGCAGGTAAGAAATCTATAGTCGCGTCCACATATGTAGAAGGCAGCTGGAATTCCTTAGGAATTCTAATCAGGATTGAGCTACAACGTGGATCTTAAGCGGGCCAGAACTATCGGAATCTGAGACAATCATTCAAAGCCATGAGTGCCAAGATGCGTCAGGACCAGTCAACTTGCGCTTGTCCTCCGAAGCTTGCACCTCGCAGATCTATTTGCAACTTGGGGCTTTAAAGATGGGGTTCAACTGTGCTCGAGTGGTTCAGGGTTTAGGGGCCGCTGTGGCCTCATCTGCGATGTGATCTGGGTCCCGATCCTCCTCGTCCTCATGGGGGGCCGCTTGTTGTCGTTCCCTTGGCTTTTATAAGCAGGCTCCTGAAAATGCAAACGGGAAAGCTGACAATTTCACTCTTTCAAAATTCTAAATGTAGCTGGGTGTCTTCTGTCCGCGCAGCGTACTGGAAGCATCATGAGCATCATCTGCGTCTGCGGGCTCCTTTTTTCTGCTAAGGTCAGTTATAGTTTCTGGCTGATACAGTATTGGGAAAACGCAGTACTCACATATGAGAATTCTGGCAATATAGAGGGATGCTAGCTGGCGTGTTTGTAGAACCAAACCACATAAGTTGAGGGTAAATATTTCCGGCGTCCCTTTTTAAACCCTAAACCCTAAACCCTAAATTCCACTCTGCCTCTGCTTCATCCTCATCATCATTCTGCTCGTGCTGCGCGAAGTGTTCATCACAAACCTCCACTATATACGAGATGCGTAGAAAGCTTAGTTGGGAACAGAAATAAGTGCCTCCTTCAGGAGAGGGTCCGTCTCCTTCTTCTTTGTGGGATCCTATAGAAGGAAAGCGCAAACTTCTATCCCTCACGATAATACATTCCAGGCCTCCAAAATCTGCAGGTCGTCTTTCTTGGAACGCTTTGCCCGCGCGTCCTGAGCTCTTGTCAATTATTGGCAGAATGACAATTTAGAAGATTACCCGGCAAACTAGAATCCTTCTTTCCATGATCGTATCCGGAAGAATCGGAAGCTTGATGATCATCCTTAATTGGCTGACAAGATTGAAAAGAAAATGTAGCAGAGACCTCAACATGAATCGTAATCATCACTCAAGCGACGTCAAACTCACGCAGGATCTTCTTGATATCCTTCTGGCGCTGCTTCTCGGGGTCCTACAGCAGCATGTACAAGCCCTGGACTAGACAGGGGCATGAGTGAAACTTGCAGTACTTAACAAAAATTATTGCAACACAAGAAGTATTCTCTGAAAGCTGAAATGGCCTTGGGCTTCTTCATTTTCTGGACTTTCGGTGTTTTCTCCTGGATGGCATTATAATTCGAATAAAATCCAAACCGATTGCATATATATGGATCAGGAGACCTGCGCTGGCGCCTCCAGCTTCGAGCCCGCAAGATCTTCCATGACAACTTCCTCTTGCCAAGAGGCGTCGCCCTCCCCCTCCCCCTCATCCCATTTGGCATCAGCTTCCTCATCTTCATCATATGCCCCGCCCCTTTCAACCTCATCTGCGTTCCATTCCTCATCACGTTTGCCCTCACTCTCGGGCCCTTCTTCATTCCATTCTTCGCCATGCTCTTCAACCCCATCCTCGCACCATTCATCATCCCATGAGTCCTGAAGCCCTTCATTCCATCCAAAATCGCGCACGCGATCATCCTCGACCCACTTTTCATTCCATTCGGCGCCTTTGTGGCAATCCAGCGACTATCCTACTATACGAATCCCAAAGCCCATCCTCCTAGTGTTTAGGGTTTATAAGATTTTGAGAATTTCAGGTTTAGAGCCTGCATCCACGGAGCCTTGCCCAGCCTCCTCATAATATTGCGTAGCATCTTCATCATGCGGGATATCCTCCTCCTCCTTAGCTGATCGCAAGGACAGTGTGTACTTGAATTCTCTATAGATTCATACAAAAAGAAATTGGCAGCTCAATCAAAAAAAAATACAATCCTAGACGAACATGCTAAGGACTTCCTAATTATAAGACCTATTCTGAAACATTCTCCCCTGGATCTTCGAACTTATTTGAACGCCTAGGAGAAATTCAAGGGGTCAACGAGTAGAATGTGTATATACAGATATTTGGTTAATGCATCGGGCGCAATGAGTTTTCAAGCCGAGAATCCGCGCCAGGCTTCCATAGCTGGCTGTCATCATTTCCAATCTCCTCAGAATCACTTGCCTCAGATGAATGCAAGTTGCATGCGCACCGTCTTCCCTGAGTGTCCATGTTCAAGCACAAGGCATGCCACGATCGCGTGAAAAAGAAACCTAGTTAAATGCTGAGATCAGAAGCTGGCACGCAAACATTGCTTCGCCTTAGCTTGATAGATCGATTTCTGGCGCCAAACATGCAAGTCTCACCGGCCGTCCCAACTGTGTCAGGCCCAGGGGCTTTTTCTTGAAGCGTCGGCTCGGAACAGCATCAAAATCCTGCACGGAACATTCAAATAGCCCTCTTCGAAATATACAGTACATAGTTATAGCCTATATATATATAGATATTTACAAACTTAAGGTCTATATTCGGGACGTGTATAGCTGGGATGGGCAGCCCTTTATATAACCTTGTGTCACACAATCTCACGCCGCAATGTCCTCCGTGGACGAAGCCTGGCCCTTTTTCACCTCATTATCAATTATTCACACGCTCAAGACACAAAGGTTTGAGGCGAGGGGGGCTTTTGCAGTTATGAAGCACATATTTACATTAATATAGGATGGACATAAATATATATACGTAATACATGGAATGGAAGACCATTTTTACAAAGATTCAGAGTTGAAACGTACTGGGACACAGACAGAATTTGTCATCCTCGCAGGAGAATCTTTTGGCTCCTGCGTGGCAATTTCAATTCAAGACCACGCGCTGGTTCCCTCCAGGAAAGCTAGACCGTCCTCCGGCCACGGCTGTGTTTCCAGATCCGCAGGGTCCATGGCAATTGATTTTCTCGCGCGCTGCAAAATTTTCGAAACCTTCTTGGCCTGATCCTGAACCCACTGCTGTCTACTGAAGCCTGGAAATTCTGGCAAAGCTACATGTTCTTTGGCTAGCAACAACTCAATAGCCTGCGTGACCCTTTTGATTGTCAAGTAGCGCTCAGGACTCAACTCGAGAACCCAGCGCAATTTCTTTCGGGTTTCCTTGAAGCTAAGGGATCCCGTAGGCAGAATCTCACCAGTCAAACGAATACGTTCTACATCTTCAGGGCTCTTTGTACACGCCTCCAACTGGCACGCAAGTTCCTGGGAGCGCAAGGTCAGATACTCTGGCTCAGGCATATTGCCCAAGCTAGAAGAATTAAGTATTGAACTTTAATGATTATACGTATATATCCGGGCCCTTCAACCAAAAATCCCCTAGCGCTCCCTCGAGCCTTGAGGTAGAAGCTCCGTAGCAACGGAGAAGATGGTACATGCAAGACCCAGGCCCCTAAATCAAAAACATGAACCCTGGTAGGCGAAACGTTTATAATTCAGGGCTTATCAAGTAGGGCTCTTCTACCTGCAGACTGCAGAACCTTAAACCCCAAACCCCTAAACCATTACAAAAGGCATTCGCAAGTCCCTGGGAAGAATTCAGAAGCCCAACAACTGAACACAATTCCACCCCTTCCGACGCCAAGTACTCCAACCGACCCATACACCGAGGCACCAGGGAAGCTTCAGTTATTCCAAACATCCTCTGTTTTCTACAGCCCTTGCAATCCTGAACCCAGAATCAACAACCAGGCCCTATCAGAAGTCCGAAGCCTAAACACTCAAACCCCCAAAACCCCGCAAACCCTAAGCCCCAAATACTTAAGCCTTCGAATCAACCCAAACACTTAAACCCCAACACCTATAACCCTTTAACTTATAAGAAATGACATGAACTGAGCGAAACTGCATGAACATCCGCGCGCTGCCACCAAGAAATCACACACCGGGCGAAAATACAACATGCCGGAGAAGCAAGGAAACAATCCCCCGCGTAGAAATATAGTCTATGGGGTATATATATATATATTCTATATACATATATACACTATAGTTATATATAGGGAATCCCTATACTGATCTGTTTGGATCCCGTAGCCCGCGCAAGCATCATCCCACACAAGTAAACCTCAGAATTGATACCCTCTATAATTACCCAGAACGAGCTTCCACCGACTACCAGCTATAGGTCTATTGGTTGTGTTGGGTATTACATGCATATACGGGTCTATATAGGGTTGACTATAATATTTATGTGGGCTCCAGTCGAGACTCGACACTCTAAGACGCGTCATGCCGCAACACACGCAATCCCCGCAAGCAAGGAAACGCGCACCAGGACTTTACTCTACATAAATGTTTATGCAAGAAAGAATCTTTACTTCAAGAGGAAGATATACCATTGGGGCCTATAGATGGTACAGGGTATACACCCCGCGCAGGCACGCAAGTCTCGGTCCACAACCTTCTCGCATCCCCATCCTCCCATCGTCCCTCCTCACTTCATGACTCCTTCAGATCGCCTCCCCGCGCATGCACACATGATTCAAAGTGACTTGCTTGATATCAGCATCGGCTTTAGTGGCAACATCCCATCTAAAATCTCCTCGTCGTCAGCCTCACAGATTCCCGGCACCCATGCCAGGCGATCAATGCCTGGTGCAGCCGCATGACTTTGGCTTTCTCATGGGTTGCCAGTATGCAACCAAACATGATTCCTCGTCCTTCGTCCATCGTCGTCAGACTGCGGGACCGCATGCATGCAGTGAGTGGCCATATTTGGTTGCCCACAACGCTCTGGATGGTATAGCCAAGCCAGACATCTGTCCAAACAAGTTACGTCCTAGAATCAACCCAACCCTATATAGTCACTAGCCAGCCTTCCCTGGCTGAAGGACCAAACGTTCGAACCCCATGCGAGCTCCTTTTTGTTTTTACAGGACTAATGTTAATATATAGATATTTATATGGGGGATTAATCATTCATTCTAAGTCTTTCTAAATGTTAACTATATTCAGGAGCAATAGGATATCATCGATAGAAATTAGCACGACCCCTCGATCCCAACCCTGAAATTGCATGAGTTTTGGGGATTGCACAGCTGGATCTACGGCACCCTTCCCGAGCGTCCACAAAGCCTGAAACCGTGACCTTTCTTTATATAAATGGTGTAGAACCTAGACTACATACACGCGGTAGTATTTGTATTTATACAGGGACGAACTACAATGTGCATACCCATACCCTTATCCCCATTAAGTACACACGCCAATCCTAATTGCCACTCCCTGCAAATGGTAGAACCTAGATTATACATACACGCGCTATTTCTGTGTACGGCTCCCGGGCACAAACTAGAATAACATAGACATGCAGCCCATATCCCAAAGTACCACACGCCAATCCTAATGTCCACACCCCTTTAAACCGACAATCTCTGAAACCCCACAATCTCCGAAATATGATGATATCTTTTTTGGGCTCTGAATGGCGCTCATATATACACACACACATATATATATATTAGAGCGGCGCCATTCAGGCCAAAAATATATGGTGTACGTGTCAAGCATGGCCCCTGCGCAGGATGTATCTGGCAGTCCCAGCCAAGTGATTAAATCAAGAGCTCATCGCAAGCTTGGAAAGTTGCTGAAGTGTCGATCAGAAGGCATGACCCCTGCACAGGATGTATTCTGCTAGTACCAACCAAGTGATTAGATCATAGCTCATCCAATGGAAACTTGCGAATCTTGTTTCTCAATGGCATGGCCCCTGCGCAGGATGTATTCTGCTAGTACCAACCAAGTGATTAGATCATAGCTCATCCAAAACGTGCTTGGAAACTTGCGAATCTTGTTTCTCAATGGCATGGCCCCTGCGCAGGATGTATGTGGCAGACAAGACCACATGATCAAAGCAAGAGGTCATAGCAAGGCATTCTTGGAAAGTTGTTGCACGCTGTGACAAAATGTATGATGCCTGACTGATACACTATGTATCTTCTTTTCCACAACCACTGAGAAGCCGATTACACTGAGAAGCCGATTAGGCTTTAGAAGCCGATTAACACGTCCTGGTTAGGTCAATCCAAGAGATTACCCG